TTTACCCAGTTACATTCCGGCAATATTTCTGGGAAGTAACAGCGACAAAAATTTTCAAAATTAATTTCACAAACACATATTGTGTTAATTGTACAATTTTTGTTTCTTACGTAAGAATTTCATTTAAGTATTGTCACAAATGCATTTTTTTTAAAATGAAATTTCGAGAATATTTTTAGTTATAAATAAACGAATTTGTGCATTCGACATCATGTTGTAAATTGCTGAATTTTCGATGCTCCACCCATTATTTTCTTGATTGCTTCTTCTCATGCATTTAAATTTTAAATCGACCGACTTTAGATTGCCATGCGTACCCCTTCATGCAATTTCATGTACCCCAGGGGTACACGTACCACTAATTGGGAACCATGGAGCTAACCCAATACAGGTTGGGTGGCAACACTAATGTTATCTCATCTCCCCTAAAATGGAGACAGCTGGTACCGATCAAGTGCAATCCCTCACTGCTCTGACTACACAAAAGAAGTCTGCCATGACAAACATTACCTTGCATATGGGCATTGCATGCTCTCTGTTTTGTTGATGTGTTTCCAATAAATAATACTTAATTGTTAATATTGTAATTTAAAAAATTTTTTAATCTTCAACTGAAACAAATAATTAATTTTCTTGTTAAATGTGGAAGAATCGTTTTAAGAATTGGAAATTGTGACAAGATTTACTTGATTCCAATTTTGGTTAATCATTCCATCACTATTAAAAATACAAGTACACAAATACACAGTATAAGAAAAAATGACAAAAAACAATTACAAGCAAGCATACTGTATAGCCATATTAGTTTCTGTAAGAAATGAAGATATTTTGTTGGATAAATATACCAATTTAATTAATATTTTTCTATAATTCATAGTTTGTTTATTTAAACATGAATATGCTATATATTTTACTTAAACTTCATTATTATTTGTGCTGTTTTCAAAGAAAGCATTTTCTTACTACATTGGTTACATCTGAATGTGCTTGTTATAATCATTAAAACATCTTTTTTAGGAATAAACATTAATTTTTTTATTCCAATGCTTTTCTGAAAATGTTCAAATTTAAAAAACCTGATTTGTTACAATAAACAAGCTGATTTTTCATGCTACATTTGGCAATATAATAATACAACTTTTTCTCTTTTTATTATGTAATATAATAATTTTTTTTCTTAAGATTTTTAAAATTATTTAATATTTTACTTCAAATATTTAACACACAATTTTATTAATAATTATAATATTTTACAACCAAAAATAGCTGTATTACATCTCAATGTTTTTACTAGAATAGTATGCATGTAATTTCACATAAAAAACACTAGTATCATTTTTCAGCCAATAATAGCACAATCTGTCATTAATTTCAAAAGAAGCAATATCAAACTTCTGATACATATGCAATATGGAATATTGTTTTTCACAAGTAAACTCTTATCTCTTATCTTCTTTGTAAGTTCATTTCATTATTTAGCTTTATTGTACTTCTTTTTTATTTTACTGATCAAGTCAGCCTAGTTATAAATTTTAGAAATTATATCTACCAACTTGCTACTTATTAGTTCAGCTAAATAACTCCAAATCTGATTGCTGAAATTTTATTATGATAATTTTCATTCTTCTGAATCTAAGGGTACATCTTACATGGCAGCATCCAGCAACTGTGAATACACTTCCAAGCGGAGTGGACAAACTGATTCAAGCAAATGTGCATGTCTGGAGTAACTGCTTTTAGCATGCAGTGACCACCAAATGACGTTTCTACATGCGTGTATAGGAAGCAGCTACTAAGCAAATTTGATCACACCTTCCACTGTCCATGCTTCCAAAGAAGAAAATGGCTGATTTTGTAGATGAATGAGAACAGAATGACAATTAAATTGTGTGTACCTGTTGTACACACAATTAAATTACCTGTTGTATATATTTTAATAATTTTTATGTAATTTAACAATTTCTGATTTTATAAATGCAACATTTTAAAAATAAAACTTTTTTTAAACTTATTCTATGGATATTCTTTATATTTGTTGTGCATCTAGTTAGCAATAACGTTTAACTTTCAAATTTAACGTTTTAATGCTTTTCATATTTTCCGTAGCAAGCATTTGACAAAATTATCTCATCACCATTTTGTAAACAACATGGACGCATTTTGTAAACAACATGCGTCCACTCTGGACAGAAGTTGTTTGTGAGTTGGAAGTGCATACAAAGATTCTTTCTGCTCACATACACTGTATGCTGCCACATAGAATATACCCTAAATATACTTCTGATTTTAGAGCAAGTTCAAAGGTTGATGTTCAGAATCTTTCCAATTATTTATAGCATCTCATCTAGTTTTAATTTATTTAAACAGGAGTGAAAATACCAATGTGGTTATGATATTTTAACTTATTGTATGCGTCAATACCTCAACTTTTCCTATGTCACAGTATGTTTAGTAAATGATTCATACAGAGCCGTAACTAGGATTTTGGACACCTATGGCCAAGAATAAAAAAGGCACCTTTTTAATTTTTATTATTAAAAAATATAATTTTATTCTAAAAAAATTATCCAATGACATTTAAATACTATATAAATATAAAAATTTTTTTGTTATTAATTTCGAATACATATTATTCCGAAACCTTCTCATTGGCACCTATGGCAGGGGCTACATTGGCCATACCCTAGTTAAGGCTCTGGATTCATAAAGGTATCATAAAATGTAAGTTAGTTTTTAATAACTGTAACATTTAATCAATAAATAAATAAAAACAAGAACTTATACTGGAATGAATAATATAAATAAAATAAAATAAACCTTTAACTATCCAGCAATAAATAATGTTTAATAAAATCGTTTTCAACCATTTTTAAACGGCCATCTTCAGTTCAGCCATTATTAAAAAAAGAACACTAAAAAAAGAACATATGAAATACAAATTAAACAGAAAGCGAAATGCGCATGCGTACTTCATCGGACTTGCGTCTTCTGAAAATCTATAAATAACTTGCAAATAACATAAAAAAATAATAAAGCCGCAAAAAAAAAAGGAGGAGGAGGAGAATATATGTTGATTACAAGGTGTTAATCTGCGTTATTGTAAAAGGATTTCCAGGCATAAGATAACCCTTCCGCATCTCTATGATTAATGCATCCCTTATTTATGTGTGCCTTGTGTATCTCTATCTTTTCAAGGTGTTTCAATGCCTGTCTGGAATTCGTGGCTCTAATGATCGAGGCTTGATCCCAATATACCTCGACCTCTTGCTGTTTGGCAAATGCTGTGAGCACTGTGGCATCTATGTTCTTACTCACAGAGTATTTATGTTCCTTTAATCTTTGTTTTAAGTGCCGCGTAGTAGCACCCACGTAAACAAGGTCTGAGTTGAACCGCTGATCCTTTATAGGTATAGAATAAACCCCTGATAAATTATTTCGCTTTTCCTTTCTCTTATCATTTCTTAACCTTCTGTAGATCGTCGAATTACGCCGATATACTATTTGTAGATTATTACTATTTGCCACTCTCCTAATCATTTTGTCTAAAAAAGGAAAATAATTAAGAACTACTCTTCGTTCCTGGGTCATTTTTTTGGGATGCTGCTGATTCTGATTCTGAAACTTCGTAATAAGCTCGTCCACCTCCCTCCTCCGACCTTGAAAAGATAGAGATACACAAGGCACACATAAATAAGGGATGCATTAATCATAGAGATGCAGAAGGGTTATCTTATGCCTGGAAATCCTTTTACAATAACGCAGATTAACACCTTGTAATCAACGTATATTCTCCTCTCCCCCTTTTTTGGCAGCTTTATTATTTTTTTATGTTACTTGCAAGTTATTTATAGATTTTCAGAAGACGCAAGTCCGATGAAGTACGCATGCGCATTTCGGTTTCTGTTTAATTTGTATTTCATACGTTCTTTTTTAGTGTTCTTTTTTAAATATTGGTCAACTGAAGATGGCCGTTTAAAAACGTTTTTATTAAACATTATTTATTGCTGGATAGTTAAAGGTTTATTTTATTTTATTTATAACATTTAATCAGCAGTTATGAGTCTATTTAAAAAAAAAAATGATTAGTTTAAAATTATAATAAATCAAATGGCAAGTTTTTCAGCACAATAATCTTATGATATTATTGTGAATTTATAAATGTTGAATTGATGGATTTATAAATATTTATTGCTATGTTTTTACAGGAGTAAGTTTATATAAAAAGACTAAAATAATTTACAAATTTTAATAATACAACTGAATAAATTCATAAGTTCAAAATATTACTGTTGCAATAAAATTTGAAAAAATTGAATAAAACAATGCTTTCAATGAATATTAAAGTTAGAAACTAATATTAATGGTTCAATTAATTTTTCATGAAAATTTTTTGTATTTTGAAGTAAGCAAATTATCTAGAAATAAAAAAATATTTTCAACTAAATGACATGTAATTCTTAAAACATGACAATTGCATTCAACATGTAAACTAAAGTGTTATTGAAAATGTTTAAAATACAATAAATTTTATTTTAAACATTTTCAATAACATTTTAATTATCAAGAATAGAAATTAAATTTTTCATTATATATTTCTTCTACTGAAGCGTATACTATTTTATCTACACAGAAAAATAAAGTGGATAACTATTCAATAAGAATTCATTTGAATATTGTATTTGTTTATTAAATAGATAAATATTTGTAATACATACAGTAAAACCTGTCCAAAAGGAACCTGAATAAAAAAGGAAATGTGTCTAAACCCAAAAATTCTTTGAAGCAGAGCAATTTTCTGTATTAAAAAAAACCTGTTCAAAACAAAAACCTTCTAAACTGGAAAAAATGTTTGGTATCACATGACTCCAGTTTACACAGGTTTTACTGTAATAATTTTATATAATGTTCAGTTTATTTTAATTAATATATAATATAAATAACAAATTTAAACTGATAGAGACATACTAAATATTCTTTGAAAGAATAAAGTTATATATTACCTATCTGATTCTCCATAATCATCATCAGAAGTATCTGATTCGTCTAAATCAACAACTGGACCCTTCTTTCTGTTATTTGAGGAATTATTTGATGTGGATCCTTTTTCAAAACTAGATTCAAGTTTATTAGATTTATCAATATCAACATCTTTTTCTTTATCTACATCATCATTGCTTACAGAATTATCTATTATGTTTTCCAACTTTTCCTCTTCTTTCCTTGTATGTTCTGTAATAGAATCATTTTTATCTTTTGTTCTATTGTGAGATTTGGAACTTGCATCATCATCGTCATCACCACTACTTTCAGTATTTTTTTCACTATTTTCTTCATTGTTATTTATTATTTCTTGTGTTTTCTTTATACAATTACTTTCACCATTGATTAAAATTTCATTAGAGTTTTCTTCTTTTAAATTATGTTCTGATTTTTTTAGTGAGTTTTCTTGTTTTGCTCTAAGCACTGGTGACTTAGGCTTGTCATTATGTAGGTTGGTTGGTTGGTCTGTGTCTTTTGGTGGAAAGGCCACATAGGCCAAGCTGCGCCACTTGTCATTATGTAAATGCTCCAAATGAGGAGAACTTTTTAATGGAACGCCTCCTGATTTATAACGAGCTAATAATTCTTCCAATGGCATTTCTGCTTCTTCATTAAGTACTGTAGTATCATCTTCTTCTATAAAATGAGAAAATATTAATTATTAATTAGAAAATATTAATTATTAAAGTCATCAAATTTAAAAAAAAAATCAAAAAAATCCTTGACTTTAAACTATTATTTAATACATAATTTTAACAGACAACAAATCAATATTTTTTAATTTGTAATTGCTGATATCTGTTAGTTATTAAAGTTAAATAAATTTATTTTGAAATTATTAACCAATAAAATATTCTCTAAAAATTAATTCTTCAAGAAACATACACTTAGTATAAAAATACAGTTTATAATGTTAAATATAATTTAGGTATTATAAAAACAACAACAAATGATTGTTGTTGTTTTAATTTTACATAACAATTTTTTAATTTGAAATTATTGTTCTAAAATTGTTCCTGGGAGACCATCTTTTTACCTGTTGAAAATGTACAAAAAACTGTTCTTCCTTAAAGCTGGAATTACTGTATAATTGATTACAAACTGACCTTTCGTATATTTCCAACAATGTTGTCAATGTAAATGAAAAACAAACATTTTTTAGCCAAACTTTTTAAGAAAAAGTTCAGCTAAAAAAGAATAAGAAGAGAATCTTCTGTAGAAGCCCGATGCTGACCCCTGAATGAGGCCAAAAATGTTTGCATTTTATTTACATTGATGGCATTGCTGGAAATGTACAAAAGGTCAGTTTGTTAGCTTATTATATATAGTGTATGCTATCATAATTTTGAACTGTATATCTATCAAAAATAGATGTATGAAAAAAATTCTATTGTCCTGAAATTTTTTCACAACTATTTTTGCAGCTATTCTTCATCTATTTTTGGATTTTCTCAATTTTAGTATGTTCTAATAATGGAATATAACAATAACTATTTTCTTTAAATATTTATAAATAAATAAATAAACCAAATTATATAACATGCTTACCAAAGTAATTTCTTCTTTATGCATTTTGGAAATGCATGTTATAGTTCTCTATCCACACTAAGCATGTTAAAGTTCATTGAAAAATAATTGGCTCACATAAAAGCAACTATTACAATTTATATCATTCAATCAGATTATCAGTTTCTATATCCATAGGAATGTTAACATACAATATATTCAGATAATGTAAATAATTATGTACTTATGTTTTAAATAATTTTCCAATAAGTTTTACTAATTCATACCAATTTAATTCAAAGTGTACTTTATACTGTAGCATAATATTGTTGATAATGTTTTCAAAATATAACAGTTTACATGCACAGCAAAGTATTTCTATTATAATAATTTTCACTAGGGATCATTTTTACATATCTTTCATTAAACTAAATGCTCATGTTTCATCTATCAAATCTTTTAATGATCTTAGTGTTTAATTTTTTTTGAGTGATCATATGGTCTTCATGAATAACAACTATTATTTATAAATACTAATATACTAATTTGAAAGATCTGATTTCTTAACTAAAAAGAAAAAAACTGAGACTTTTTAGTGTTAAATAAATGATATTTTTAAGAACTTAAACATTTCAGATATTTTGAAATATTGAAAATGTTTAAGTTATTAAAAGTACCAGCTTGCCTATGTTTTTGAGGGGATGGGAGAAGATGATAAAAACAATTGTCTTAGTAATTAAAATGTATATTTATTAAGTTGAGTATTTACAATAATAAAACTGCAAAACACAAAAAAAATTGTTCAAGCTGAAGTTAACAAAGAGTGGGTTTTAGGGGTGGTTGGAGGTGGAGACCCGACAGTATTTTTTCTAGGATATTAAAGAATATTCATGGTTTTGATGAAAAACCATAATCAGCTGAACCGTCGGAAATGTCGTTCGAAATATTCGATATTGAAATTTAAAAAAACCGCCGGAATATCGTTCGGAAAGCTTAAACTATCGAATTCTATGTACTGCCTGATGATGGTAGTTTTACACTACTGAAAGTGCTAGCGGATAAAACCTTTCTCCAAAAGTCGGATAAATTTCCGTATCCGGAACTCCACTCCTGTAATGCCACTGCACGTAAGTGTTCTAATAATGTTCAACTTCTATATTTTCAACAATACATCTTATCTTGTTAAAAATATCTTAAATTTAACTCTTATTTGCAAAAAAGAGGATTTATTTCGAGCACTTTTCTCTATACATTAGTTACAATTCTTACAAAGTAATAATTATTTGCAAAATAATTCCATATATCTAATTCTAATACTTGTTTCACAATAACTGTTCTTGTAAAGAGTATTGGATGCATGTAAACAAAAGTGCCATACCCCCTTTAAATGTCTAATGTTGATTTCATTTATATTTCCAGTTCTGATCAAAATAGAATATATATTATGGGCCTCATCTCCAACCCTTCAGGAGGAAAAGAGGATCCTTTCTTTCTCCTTACATTTTGCTTCATGCAGCAAACATGTAGCTAGGCTGAAACAAAAGAAAGGAAAAAAATTATTACAGAAATTGCTTTTAGCCCTAGGTATAATTAAATTAATTAAAATATCTATAACCAATGGGCAGATAATAGTAAGGGCTTATCACACCAATGATAATGGGCACAAACACTCTCCTACATGTGGTGATGGCCATCCAAAGTACTTTTCGGTCGGGGGAGTATTGTTCATTTCATTTTGCTCCCAGCATAGAGCTAATACATGAATCGTTTCAATTTAATAAAACAAAAAAGGAGGTGTGCAATAAGATGACTACATAAATATGGAAACCGAAAAACCCAAAATGCATTTCGGAATATTTTCCAGTAGAAAATAATCCCTCATCAGTTGGTATTAACTAACCTCATCTATTAAAGGATGAAATAGATAAAAATAACAGTGATATCTGGTTGCATCATATGTTTTCACCACTTGCGCACCAGATGTGGAAGGTAACACACCTCCTTTGTAACTGCTTCCTATATCTTGTAGTAATGTCTTGCAACTCTGTCATCTTACCGATTTCGATATGTATATAATCTAAACTGTCTGTATAACATTAGTTCATAACTGCAAACCAATAATTGGGCTAACTCATAACTGTTTTTGTATCAGCACCCTGTAAGTCCCACTACTATTCAACGTTGCAAAGAATTATTATTCCTGTCTACATTGATAATGCTTACTGCTCATACAGTCATGGCGACATTTTCATCTTTATATTGTATAGCTTTAGGCATAGTTTTAAGTTTAAATTTATTTTTTTTCACTTTGTATAATTTTTAAGTATAGTAAAACCTTTAGTTAATACCAACTGATGAGAAAATAGGAAAATAGTCTGAAATGCATTTTGGGTTTTTCGGTTTCCATACTTATGTAGTCATCTTATTGTAGTGCACCCCCTTTTTTGATTTATTAAATTTTTTTACTTTGATTCCTGAGCATTTGTGTCCATTATCATTGGTAATATAAGCCCTTACTATTATCTGCCTCACGGTTATAGATATTTTAATTAATTTAAAAGAAAGGAAAATGGATGAGGATGAAACTGTGTGTATTAACATTACACATAGTAAAATGCCTAGCAATCTACCTATTCTATGCATGGAAAGCTAGAACTTCTGTAAATAAGTAATATAAAACCTTCGACACTTTTTCTAGCAATTTCTTTAATCGAACTAATGTTTTCGGCTATATTTAATAGCCTTCCTCAGGTACTACATTATTGGAATGAGGATGTTCCAATATTGTAGTACCCGAGGAAGGCTATTAAATATAGCTGAAAACGTTAGTTCGATTAAAGAAATTGCTAGAAAAAGTGTCAAAGGTTTTATATTACTTAATCTACCTACAATAAGTACTGAAAAAAACCAAAATAATTAAAAAAAAAAAAAAAGCCAAAGAAAGTTGAAATGAAAACTATTGCTATTTATGTGAAGTTATAAAGAGCAAATTTGGCAACCTAAAAGGAAGAAAGTAGCCTAAAGCTAAGGGAATGCTACTCTTATTTTGCAGCCAAAGTTTATTACTTCTAACGTTTTCGGTCTTGTTAAAAGACCTTTCTCAAGAAAAATAAAGCAAATAAAAATAACAAAATGTAAATCGAACGCTTGGTACAACGAACAAGGTTTCGAATATTTTTGAACTAGCCTATAATCCGTTGCAATTTATGACGTCATTGTGAACTTAACAATGGAAGTACAAAAATCCTAAAAACTACATAAATATCTACATACAAATAGTTACTATCTCTGAACATCACTATTAACTACTTCCCTCAATTATTATGGTTTATATTAAGCTAGAGAACCATGCTGCCGATATTTTTGTGGATTCTCGAAAGTTGATTGCAAGGCCTTTATGCTTTGCTTTACAAATCTGCCATGCTTCCGCGTAATGCTGGTGCTGCCTGTCTCGAACTATCTGCATAAATCTTGCTTGGTCCCATTCAGCCTTGACATCTTGCAGGTCTGCTAAAACGTAGTGGCCAGCGCAGTGCATGGTTGTTCTTTTCTTATATTTGCTTGATGTTCAGCTAACCTGTCTTTGATACATCTTCCTGTTGCCCCTATATACATTAATTTACTATGTCGCCTTGAGTCCATAACTGGAATTTTATATACACCGGGGAGTGTTTTTCTATCCACTACATCCTTATCAGATCGTAAAAGTTGGTAAGTGGTGAGGGTTCTTTTATATAGGATTCTTTTGTTCTGGGCCTTTCCAACATGTCGAAAAATATTATTCAGCAAAGCATTATACTCCATCGTTAAAACTCCTTCCTTATTAGGTAAATTTCTCTTCTTAAGGCGCGTTTTGCTCTTGCTGATAATAGCCTTAATATTAATCCTGTACTTTTTGGCTAAGTTATATATATAATTCAGTTCCTCGTTTCTATCTTTTGTATTGTTACAGTGCAAATAAGCTCTTGCGATTAATGCTCTGAACACTGCTATTTTATATGCTGGGGGATCGTGAGAGATCCACGGAATAAATATAGGGTTATAGGATGGCTTTCTGTAAACTTTAGTCTTGAAATCTTGTACGCTGTTAATTTGTATATCCAGATCTAAGAAATGTATAGTCTTATCATTTTCTTGCTGTAACTTTATCTCAAGGCCGAATCTGTTGTCATTTATATCCTTTATAAAGCTCTGTACGTTGGGTTTAGTGTTCCAGAAAATAAGTACATCGTCTACATATCGAACATACATTATCATTTGTGCTTCATACTTCGGCAACGATGTACTTATTTTACATATGATTGACAGTGTGCTGAGATTAAAGGACAAATACAAAACAACATTACATTCCATTTGCAAAGCTTGAAAAATGAATTCAATTGCTATTTTCCTGACTGCAAGGACAAAGGTATTCGGAAACTGATTTGCAATGCTTTCATAGTCAACATTTCTGAGGTGCCAGATGAAATACAAGAAGAGTTAATTGAAATGCAACATGATATTAACTGCAAGGATACATTCGAGACAGGAATTAATCTTAAAGATTTTTTTTTTTGATTCTGATGAATCCGTGTTGTAGTGTGTCTTTATAAAGCAGCTTAAAGATTTTTGGAGCCAAAAAGCTATTGCTTTCCCTAAAATTTGAGAAATTGCTTTACAGTACCTAACTTTATTTTCAACCACATATTTATGCAAGCAAGGATTCTNTAAATAAATAAAAACAAGAACTTATACTGGAATGAATAATATAAATAAAATAAAATAAACCTTTAACTATCCAGCAATAAATAATGTTTAATAAAATCGTTTTCAACCATTTTTAAACGGCCATCTTCAGTTCAGCCATTATTAAAAAAAGAACACTAAAAAAAGAACATATGAAATACAAATTAAACAGAAAGCGAAATGCGCATGCGTACTTCATCGGACTTGCGTCTTCTGAAAATCTATAAATAACTTGCAAATAACATAAAAAAATAATAAAGCCGCAAAAAAAAAAGGAGGAGGAGGAGAATATATGTTGATTACAAGGTGTTAATCTGCGTTATTGTAAAAGGATTTCCAGGCATAAGATAACCCTTCCGCATCTCTATGATTAATGCATCCCTTATTTATGTGTGCCTTGTGTATCTCTATCTTTTCAAGGTGTTTCAATGCCTGTCTGGAATTCGTGGCTCTAATGATCGAGGCTTGATCCCAATATACCTCGACCTCTTGCTGTTTGGCAAATGCTGTGAGCACTGTGGCATCTATGTTCTTACTCACAGAGTATTTATGTTCCTTTAATCTTTGTTTTAAGTGCCGCGTAGTAGCACCCACGTAAACAAGGTCTGAGTTGAACCGCTGATCCTTTATAGGTATAGAATAAACCCCTGATAAATTATTTCGCTTTTCCTTTCTCTTATCATTTCTTAACCTTCTGTAGATCGTCGAATTACGCCGATATACTATTTGTAGATTATTACTATTTGCCACTCTCCTAATCATTTTGTCTAAAAAAGGAAAATAATTAAGAACTACTCTTCGTTCCTGGGTCATTTTTTTGGGATGCTGCTGATTCTGATTCTGAAACTTCGTAATAAGCTCGTCCACCTCCCTCCTCCGACCTTGAAAAGATAGAGATACACAAGGCACACATAAATAAGGGATGCATTAATCATAGAGATGCAGAAGGGTTATCTTATGCCTGGAAATCCTTTTACAATAACGCAGATTAACACCTTGTAATCAACGTATATTCTCCTCTCCCCCTTTTTTGGCAGCTTTATTATTTTTTTATGTTACTTGCAAGTTATTTATAGATTTTCAGAAGACGCAAGTCCGATGAAGTACGCATGCGCATTTCGGTTTCTGTTTAATTTGTATTTCATACGTTCTTTTTTAGTGTTCTTTTTTAAATATTGGTCAACTGAAGATGGCCGTTTAAAAACGTTTTTATTAAACATTATTTATTGCTGGATAGTTAAAGGTTTATTTTATTTTATTTATAACATTTAATCAGCAGTTATGAGTCTATTTAAAAAAAAAAATGATTAGTTTAAAATTATAATAAATCAAATGGCAAGTTTTTCAGCACAATAATCTTATGATATTATTGTGAATTTATAAATGTTGAATTGATGGATTTATAAATATTTATTGCTATGTTTTTACAGGAGTAAGTTTATATAAAAAGACTAAAATAATTTACAAATTTTAATAATACAACTGAATAAATTCATAAGTTCAAAATATTACTGTTGCAATAAAATTTGAAAAAATTGAATAAAACAATGCTTTCAATGAATATTAAAGTTAGAAACTAATATTAATGGTTCAATTAATTTTTCATGAAAATTTTTTGTATTTTGAAGTAAGCAAATTATCTAGAAATAAAAAAATATTTTCAACTAAATGACATGTAATTCTTAAAACATGACAATTGCATTCAACATGTAAACTAAAGTGTTATTGAAAATGTTTAAAATACAATAAATTTTATTTTAAACATTTTCAATAACATTTTAATTATCAAGAATAGAAATTAAATTTTTCATTATATATTTCTTCTACTGAAGCGTATACTATTTTATCTACACAGAAAAATAAAGTGGATAACTATTCAATAAGAATTCATTTGAATATTGTATTTGTTTATTAAATAGATAAATATTTGTAATACATACAGTAAAACCTGTCCAAAAGGAACCTGAATAAAAAAGGAAATGTGTCTAAACCCAAAAATTCTTTGAAGCAGAGCAATTTTCTGTATTAAAAAAAACCTGTTCAAAACAAAAACCTTCTAAACTGGAAAAAATGTTTGGTATCACATGACTCCAGTTTACACAGGTTTTACTGTAATAATTTTATATAATGTTCAGTTTATTTTAATTAATATATAATATAAATAACAAATTTAAACTGATAGAGACATACTAAATATTCTTTGAAAGAATAAAGTTATATATTACCTATCTGATTCTCCATAATCATCATCAGAAGTATCTGATTCGTCTAAATCAACAACTGGACCCTTCTTTCTGTTATTTGAGGAATTATTTGATGTGGATCCTTTTTCAAAACTAGATTCAAGTTTATTAGATTTATCAATATCAACATCTTTTTCTTTATCTACATCATCATTGCTTACAGAATTATCTATTATGTTTTCCAACTTTTCCTCTTCTTTCCTTGTATGTTCTGTAATAGAATCATTTTTATCTTTTGTTCTATTGTGAGATTTGGAACTTGCATCATCATCGTCATCACCACTACTTTCAGTATTTTTTTCACTATTTTCTTCATTGTTATTTATTATTTCTTGTGTTTTCTTTATACAATTACTTTCACCATTGATTAAAATTTCATTAGAGTTTTCTTCTTTTAAATTATGTTCTGATTTTTTTAGTGAGTTTTCTTGTTTTGCTCTAAGCACTGGTGACTTAGGCTTGTCATTATGTAGGTTGGTTGGTTGGTCTGTGTCTTTTGGTGGAAAGGCCACATAGGCCAAGCTGCGCCACTTGTCATTATGTAAATGCTCCAAATGAGGAGAACTTTTTAATGGAACGCCTCCTGATTTATAACGAGCTAATAATTCTTCCAATGGCATTTCTGCTTCTTCATTAAGTACTGTAGTATCATCTTCTTCTATAAAATGAGAAAATATTAATTATTAATTAGAAAATATTAATTATTAAAGTCATCAAATTTAAAAAAAAAAATCAAAAAAATCCTTGACTTTAAACTATTATTTAATACATAATTTTAACAGACAACAAATCAATATTTTTTAATTTGTAATTGCTGATATCTGTTAGTTATTAAAGTTAAATAAATTTATTTTGAAATTATTAACCAATAAAATATTCTCTAAAAATTAATTCTTCAAGAAACATACACTTAGTATAAAAATACAGTTTATAATGTTAAATATAATTTAGGTATTATAAAAACAACAACAAATGATTGTTGTTGTTTTAATTTTACATAACAATTTTTTAATTTGAAATTATTGTTCTAAAATTGTTCCTGGGAGACCATCTTTTTACCTGTTGAAAATGTACAAAAAACTGTTCTTCCTTAAAGCTGGAATTACTGTATAATTGATTACAAACTGACCTTTCGTATATTTCCAACAATGTTGTCAATGTAAATGAAAAACAAACATTTTTTAGCCAAACTTTTTAAGAAAAAGTTCAGCTAAAAAAGAATAAGAAGAGAATCTTCTGTAGAAGCCCGATGCTGACCCCTGAATGAGGCCAAAAATGTTTGCATTTTATTTACATTGATGGCATTGCTGGAAATGTACAAAAGGTCAGTTTGTTAGCTTATTATATATAGTGTATGCTATCATAATTTTGAACTGTATATCTATCAAAAATAGATGTATGAAAAAAATTCTATTGTCCTGAAATTTTTTCACAACTATTTTTGCAGCTATTCTTCATCTATTTTTGGATTTTCTCAATTTTAGTATGTTCTAATAATGGAATATAACAATAACTATTTTCTTTAAATATTTATAAATAAATAAATAAACCAAATTATATAACATGCTTACCAAAGTAATTTCTTCTTTATGCATTTTGGAAATGCATGTTATAGTTCTCTATCCACACTAAGCATGTTAAAGTTCATTGAAAAATAATTGGCTCACATAAAAGCAACTATTACAATTTATATCATTCAATCAGATTATCAGTTTCTATATCCATAGGAATGTTAACATACAATATATTCAGATAATGTAAATAATTATGTACTTATGTTTTAAATAATTTTCCAATAAGTTTTACTAATTCATACCAATTTAATTCAAAGTGTACTTTATACTGTAGCATAATATTGTTGATAATGTTTTCAAAATATAACAGTTTACATGCACAGCAAAGTATTTCTATTATAATAATTTTCACTAGGGATCATTTTTACATATCTTTCATTAAACTAAATGCTCATGTTTCATCTATCAAATCTTTTAATGATCTTAGTGTTTAATTTTTTTTGAGTGATCATATGGTCTTCATGAATAACAACTATTATTTATAAATACTAATATACTAATTTGAAAGATCTGATTTCTTAACTAAAAAGAAAAAAACTGAGACTTTTTAGTGTTAAATAAATGATATTTTTAAGAACTTAAACATTTCAGATATTTTGAAATATTGAAAATGTTTAAGTTATTAAAAGTACCAGCTTGCCTATGTTTTTGAGGGGATGGGAGAAGATGATAAAAACAATTGTCTTAGTAATTAAGATGTATATTTATTAAGTTGAGTATTTACAATAATAAAACTGCAAAACACAAAAAAAATTGTTCAAGCTGAAGTTAACAAAGAGTGGGTTTTAGGGGTGGTTGGAGGTGGAGACCCGACAGTATTTTTTCTAGGATATTAAAGAATATTCATGGTTTTGATGAAAAACCATAATCAGCTGAACCGTCGGAAATGTCGTTCGAAATATTCGATATTGAAATTTAAAAAAACCGCCGGAATATTGTTCGGAAAGCTTAAACTATCGAATTCTATGTACTGCCTGATGATGGTAGTTTTACACTACTGAAAGTGCTAGCGGATAAAACCTTTCTCCAAAAGTCGGATAAATTTCCGTATCCGGAACTCCACTCCTGTAATGCCACTGCACGTAAGTGTTCTAATAATGTTCAACTTCTATATTTTCAACAATACATCTTATCTTGTTAAAAATATCTTAAATTTAACTCTTATTTGCAAAAAAGAGGATTTATTTCGAGCACTTTTCTCTATACATTAGTTACAATTCTTACAAAGTAATAATTATTTGCAAAATAATTCCATATATCTAATTCTAATACTTGTTTCACAATAACTGTTCTTGTAAAGAGTATTGGATGCATGTAAACAAAAGTGCCATACCCCCTTTAAATGTCTAATGTTGATTTCATTTATATTTCCAGTTCTGATCAAAATAGAATATATATTATGGGCCTCATCTCCAACCCTTCAGGAGGAAAAGAGGATCCTTTCTTTCTCCTTACATTTTGCTTCATGCAGCAAACATGTAGCTAGGCTGAAACAAAAGAAAGGAAAAAAATTATTACAGAAATTGCTTTTAGCCCTAGGTATAATTAAATTAATTAAAATATCTATAACCAATGGGCAGATAATAGTAAGGGCTTATCACACCAATGATAATGGGCACAAACACTCTCCTACATGTGGTGATGGCCATCCAAAGTACTTTTCGGTCGGGGGAGTATTGTTCATTTCATTTTGCTCCCAGCATAGAGCTAATACATGAATCGTTTCAATTTAATAAAACAAAAAAGGAGGTGTGCAATAAGATGACTACATAAATATGGAAACCGAAAAACCCAAAATGCATTTCGGAATATTTTCCAGTAGAAAATAATCCCTCATCAGTTGGTATTAACTAACCTCATCTATTAAAGGATGAAATAGATAAAAATAACAGTGATATCTGGTTGCATCATATGTTTTCACCACTTGCGCACCAGATGTGGAAGGTAACACACCTCCTTTGTAACTGCTTCCTATATCTTGTAGTAATGTCTTGCAACTCTGTCATCTTACCGATTTCGATATGTATATAATCTAAACTGTCTGTATAACATTAGTTCATAACTGCAAACCAATAATTGGGCTAACTCATAACTGTTTTTGTATCAGCACCCTGTAAGTCCCACTACTATTCAACGTTGCAAAGAATTATTATTCCTGTCTACATTGATAATGCTTACTGCTCATACAGTCATGGCGACATTTTCATCTTTATATTGTATAGCTTTAGGCATAGTTTTAAGTTTAAATTTATTTTTTTTCACTTTGTATAATTTTTAAGTATAGTAAAACCTTTAGTTAATACCAACTGATGAGAAAATAGGAAAATAGTCTGAAATGCATTTTGGGTTTTTCGGTTTCCATACTTATGTAGTCATCTTATTGTAGTGCACCCCCTTTTTTGATTTATTAAATTTTTTTACTTTGATTCCTGAGCATTTGTGTCCATTATCATTGGTAATATAAGCCCTTACTATTATCTGCCTCACGGTTATAGATATTTTAATTAATTTAAAAGAAAGGAAAATGGATGAGGATGAAACTGTGTGTATTAACATTACACATAGTAAAATGCCTAGCAATCTACCTATTCTATGCATGGAAAGCTAGAACTTCTGTAAATAAGTAATATAAAACCTTCGACACTTTTTCTAGCAATTTCTTTAATCGAACTAATGTTTTCGGCTATATTTAATAGCCTTCCTCAGGTACTACATTATTGGAGTACCTGAGGAATGTTCCAATATTGAGTACCCGAGGATGTTCCAATATTGTAGTACCCGAGGAAGGCTATTAAATATAGCTGAAAACGTTAGTTCGATTAAAGAAATTGCTAGAAAAAGTGTCAAAGGTTTTATATTACTTAATCTACCTACAATAAGTACTGAAAAAAACCAAAATAATTAAAAAAAAAAAAAAAAAGCCAAAGAAAGTTGAAATGAAAACTATTGCTATTTATGTGAAGTTATAAAGAGCAAATTTGGCAACCTAAAAGGAAGAAAGTAGCCTAAAGCTAAGGGAATGCTACTCTTATTTTGCAGCCAAAGTTTATTACTTCTAACGTTTTCGGTCTTGTTAAAAGACCTTTCTCAAGAAAAATAAAGCAAATAAAAATAACAAAATGTAAATCGAACGCTTGGTACAACGAACAAGGTTTCGAATATTTTTGAACTAGCCTATAATCCGTTGCAATTTATGACGTCATTGTGAACTTAACAATGGAAGTACAAAAATCCTAAAAACTACATAAATATCTACATACAAATAGTTACTATCTCTGAACATCACTATTAACTACTTCCCTCAATTATTATGGTTTATATTAAGCTAGAGAACCATGCTGCCGATATTTTTGTGGATTCTCGAAAGTTGATTGCAAGGCCTTTATGCTTTGCTTTACAAATCTGCCATGCTTCCGCGTAATGCTGGTGCTGCCTGTCTCGAACTATCTGCATAAATCTTGCTTGGTCCCATTCAGCCTTGACATCTTGCAGGTCTGCTAAAACGTAGTGGCCAGCGCAGTGCATGGTTGTTCTTTTCTTATATTTGCTTGATGTTCAGCTAACCTGTCTTTGATACATCTTCCTGTTGCCCCTATATACATTAATTTACTATGTCGCCTTGAGTCCATAACTGGAATTTTATATACACCGGGGAGTGTTTTTCTATCCACTACATCCTTATCAGATCGTAAAAGTTGGTAAGTGGTGAGGGTTCTTTTATATAGGATTCTTTTGTTCTGGGCCTTTCCAACATGTCGAAAAATATTATTCAGCAAAGCATTATACTCCATCGTTAAAACTCCTTCCTTATTAGGTAAATTTCTCTTCTTAAGGCGCGTTTTGCTCTTGCTGATAATAGCCTTAATATTAATCCTGTACTTTTTGGCTAAGTTATATATATAATTCAGTTCCTCCGTTCTATCTTTTGTATTGTTACAGTGCAAATAAGCTCTTGCGATTAATGCTCTGAACGCTGCTATTTTATATGCTGGGGGATCGTGAGAGATCCACGGAATAAATATAGGGTTATAGGATGGCTTTCTGTAAACTTTAGTCTTGAAATCTTGTACGCTGTTAATTTGTA